TGCAGTGGACACAGGCTTACCACAACTGGACAGTTGAAGACTGGAAAAACAGTATGGTCTGATGTATCTTGATTTCTGCTGAGGTACCCAGATGGTAGGGTCAGAATTTGGTGCCATCAGCATGAATCTTTTCAATCTGTCTTGTATCAGCAGTCCAGGCTGGTGGAGGTGGTGTAATGAGGTGGGGAATGTTTTCTCGGCACACTTTGGGCCTGTTAATACCAATCAATCATCGTTTGAATGCCACAGCCTATTTGAGTGTTGTTGCTGACCATGTCCATCCCTTCATGACCATAATTTACCATCTTGTAATGGCTACATCCAGCATGATAACGCACCATGACACAAAGCAAAAGTCGCCAAACTGGTTTCATGAACATGACGATGAGTTCGGTGGTCTTCAGTGGCCTTTAAAGTCAGTAATCCTACAGGACACCTTTGGGACGAGGTAGAACAGGAGATTCACAGGATGAAAGTGCATCTGAAAAATCCGGAATTCCATTACGCAATCATGTCGATATGGACCAGAATCTCAAAGGAATGTTTCCAACATCTTGTGGAATCCATGCCATGAAGAATAGATGCTGTTTTGGGAGCAAAGGGAGGCCCTGTAGACCAGGTGAGGTGCCAGACTGATGTAGTCCAGCATACCCAAACACCATGGAGGAAACTATGACAAATACAACACTTTTGCCTTTTCAGACTATTTCTTAATTTCAACATGATAATGTGGTAAATATGCAAAAAAGGTCTTGTAGCCATTTGGAGGTTGGTTCTCACGTTGCTCACATTGCTATAATATGAATAAACACATAGGCCTCTCAAGTCTCATGTTTAACTCATGAACAGGCATGCATAAATCACTGCTACAAGCGCAACATTCAGGGCCTGTGGTTGTATCTTAAGTCTGGCAGGTAGTGAGAATTTGGCCCCACACCTGGTCCTCTGTAGATCTGAAGAGCAAGATGTAAGCCTGCTATATTCTGTTATGCAGTGTTTTATATCATGAATCTCAAAATCAAGTGATGATTATTAGCCTGACAGAAATTCATACAATAAAAATGTCCACTATGTCAACCTGGATCTCCAACCTTTTTTGTTGTCGTCGTCTCCTGAAAACAAATAGACAAATGGCCATCTCATACACTTTCTCACACATTATTTAAGCCACTTATCCTACTGGGTTGCAGGAGCCTATCACAGAACTCATGGGGCAGAAGGCAGGAAACACCCTGGACAGGCCACCAGGGGCCAGACAGACATATACATTCACACCTAGGAGCAATTCAACATCTCCAGTTTACCTGGCTGCATGCCTTTGGGCTGTGGCAAGAAACCAGAGCACCTGGAGGAAACCCACACAGACACAGGGAGAACATCACCCAGCCAGGGAATCCAACCCGAGCCCTTCCTGCTGTGAGGCGACAGCACTACCCACTGCACCACCCTGTTACACTTTCAAATGGGTCATAACATCCATCTGGATCAAAACGAAAGAGTGGGATGTTTGACGTGACCCACATAGTTGCAGCTGATAAATTCAGTGGCAGAATTGTGGGGTATTCTACACTGCCTGTAAGGAGTAACCTCACAATATATGGAGGTCTATAGATAATTGGCCATCATTTGGTTACAAATGAATATGAACAGTGCAACAGGTTCAGTCTACTAACCACGGCTATTTCATAGTCTGGACTTAAGCGCTGTTTAAAGTAATCAAATATGTTGTTGGTTAAATCTGGAATGCGGCTTTCAGAAATCTTGTCCCTGTTTTATTGCAGACCTGCGTTTCTGTCCTGTGGATTATGGGACTAAGTACGAGTTGATCAGTCCTTAATGAATGGGAGTAAATGGAGCTCAACGGCTAAAAACGAAAAGTTAAAATAGTTTCTAATCACTCGCCAAGAACCTTCCTTTCATTTTAGACAGTAGACAGATGTATTTCATTAAAAAAGCAAACAGGTTTTGCAGGACGCTAACATTACTGCTACTGAGTGCTGATTGGTTGGAGAGCGGAGCAGCTCATTGGCTGTTCACGCTGACTGATGTCATGAACGTACATGAGGCGCCGTTTTAAACTCCTTTAAGTCGAGTTTAAAAGCTCTTTAAAAATATAACAGCGGTGTTAAAATGTTTTATGCTGCTCTGTGTTCAGTAAATGATTGTATTATTTTACATTAAAAATGTTTAAGCATTTATAAAGTATGATTTTACTTAAAATGCTCCATCTTATCACATTCATTTTGGATTTGTTTGGGAGCGCCCTCTAGTGTTTGATGAACCCAGCAGACATTACAGAGTGATAATTATTCTCTCTACAAGTTCTCCAGCTCAACCTCTCTCCAGACGTCTTCTGTCCACGTGTGGAATCGATGCCATGTCGAGTTGCTGCACTTCGCTGGGCTAGAGGGGGTCCTACATGACACTAGCACACACAACTCACAATCAATGAACTGGCTAAGGCTCTGAACATACACCGGTCAGGCGTAACATTATGACCACCTCCTTGTTTCTACGCTCATTGTCCATTTTATCAGCTCCACTTACTATATAGGTGCACTTTGTAGTTCTACAGTTACAGACTGTAGTCCATCTGTTTCTCTGCATACTTTGTTAGCCCCCTTTACCCTGTTCTTCAGTGGTCAGGACCCCCACGGAACTCCAGCAGCACGGCTGTGTCTGATCCGCTCAGACCAGCACAACACACACTAACACACAACTACCACGTCAGTGTTACTGCAGTGCTGAGAATGATCCACCACCCAAATAGTACCTGCTCTGTGAGGGTCCATGGGGGTCCTGACCACTGAAGAACAGGGTAAAAGGGGGCTAACAAAGTATGCAGAGAAACAGATGGACTACAGTCTGTAACTGTAGAACTACAAAGTGCACCTATATAGTAAGTGGAGCTGATAAAATGGACAATGAGCGTAGAAACAAGGAGGTGGTCAGAATGTTATGCCTGATCGGTGTATATCTGCAAGACGCTGTCGAAGAGCCTCATTTTGAGATTATGTGAATTACCTGATGAAGTAAATCCTGTTATGTTCCTACAGTGTCCTTTGTGCGCCAAGAGGCTCTGCTCTGCTGGGTTTAAGCAGCTTTGGCTCTGATTCAAATCTCAGTCCACACAAAACTGGATTGCAGCCTGTCAGGTTCAGTTCACCAACACAGCCACCAGGGGGCAGCATCACTTATAGAATCAACCTCCTATTCAGACACTTTCAGCTCAGGTGAGCGCAGCTGAGTGGTTTACCTGCTCCAACACACCTGATTGAAGCTGTTAAAGGGGAATCCCACCAACTTTCCAAAATTTCTGCAAAGCTCAGTCTTTGAGATGTAAACAGAGTGGTTTGATGTGAAATGGTTCACTGTAGAGAAACTTACAGACTCAGATTTCTTTACAGTGGTGCTGATAGGAACCAGGGGTCTCCATGACTACAACACAGATATAGCCACTTTATTTACTATCCAGAGCCACCAGTGAACCCTACACGAGTCTTCTGAGTGTTTATATGTGATATTAATCATGGTACAATAGTGGAATCTGGAAAAATAAGTTTTCTTTGGCGACTATTTTGCCTCACAACACCCTGAATTCACCACGAATGGCTTTTAAAAAAAAACAATTTTTGGCGAAATCTTACTAAGAGCTACCATCAAAACAGTGTCTCAGACATCAGGCAGTGCATTCATATCCATTTCATGCAATAACTTAGTGTGAGGGAGCTTCTAGAGGTGGTTCCTGACAGATTAAAGAACCCAAGTCTTCATAGTATTTGTGCACTTAGAAAGAGGAATTTAATTAGTAAAGTAATTAAATTCAGGCCACGCCCAGGAGTTAATTAGCTATTAACCCTACAGAGTAAATTCACTAACGGAGCTGAAGGATCTCCAGACCAGCTGGGTTAACAGTAACTTTAGGCCACAACGCTTCATTTATGTTAACATTAGGCCCACATTAATCAGATTACGAGGCCACGCCCACAATGATCGGATTACCGTGCGCTAATTAAGTTAATTCTGCCTTCACCTCTCTGTTTCTCCTCGTTTTTGTCCTCTCTCTCTCTCTCCCTCTCTCTCCCGCTTTATTTACTGTCTCTTCCTCTCACTATACTCTCTCTTCCTTTACTCTCTTTCTCTCTTTCTCTCTCTCTTAATTCTTATTCTTCCTCTCTGTCTTTATTCCCTCTCTCTATTTTTTCTCTCTTTTCCTCTCGCTATTAAACTATTCTCTCTTTCGCTTTATTTTTTGTCTCTTTATTCTTTGTCTTTCTTTCTCTCTCTCTCTTTCTCGCTTTATTCCTTCTCTCCCTGTGATTTTATTCTCTCTCTCTCTCTATTTATTCCCATATTCTTTCTGTCTTCTTTCTCTCCCCCTTCTCTCTCTCTCTCTCTCTCTTAATTCTTATTCTCCCTCTGTTTTTATTCCCTCTCTCTATTTTTCTGTTTCTCTTTTCTTCTCACTATTCAATCACTCTCTCTCTCTTTATTCTTTTTCTCTTTTTATTCTGTCTTTCCCTCTCTCAGCTCTTTCTCGCTTTATTCCTTTTCTCACTTTGTGATTTTACTCTCTCTCTCTCTCTCTCTCTCTCTCTCTCTCTCTCTCTCTTCCCCTTTACTCTCTTTCTCTGTCTCTTAATTCTTATTCTTCCTGTCTTTATTCCCTCTCTCTTTATTTTTTTCTCTTTTCCTCTCGCTGTTAAACTATTCTCTCTCTCTCTCTCTTTCTCTCCTTCTCGCTTTATTCCTTCTCTCCCTGTGATTTTATTCTCTTTCTCTCTCTCTCTCTCTCTCTCTCTCTTTTATTCTCATATTCTTTCTGTCTTCTTTCTCTCCCACTAATTCTCCTTTTTGCTCTTTGTTTCTCTCTCTCTCTCTCTCTCTCTCGTGACCAATCAGCGCAGCGTCAGTGGCGCGTGACTGACTCGCCGTGACGTCAGCGGCGAAACAAAGCAGCCCATTGGCCGCTGCCGCTCCTGCGGCTCCGCCCCGGATCGCTCATGCAGGCGCTGTGAGCGCAGCGCTGTTTACGCGGAGCTCGGCTTAATGTCGGCGGATAAACTCGCTGTCCGCCTTTCGCTGCTCATCGGTTTGATCTCTGCTTCTGCTTTGTTTGTGGAGGGAAAGTTGGAGCGCTCGAGGCGTCGCGGTGAGTGAGTCGCGCGCTGAGTGTGTGTGTGTGTGTGTGTGTGTGTGTGTGTGTGTGTGTGTGTGTGTGTGTGTTTCTGGGTGTCTGTATGCAGTTATGGTGGAGCCGTGTGTGTTTGTGCTCGTCTTGCTATCCTTGTGAGGACTCAGTGATAGGACATGACATTTTGCTGGTTCTCACTTGAGCACGAGTTGTTTTCACCACAAAGTACATATCTTTGGAAAAAAAAACTAAGCCAGAGGTATTGCTTGAAGGATACTGAGGTTAAGGTTAAGGTTAGGCTTAGCATTACTTGTCTACATTAATACAGAAAGCAGCAGAAATTAATGGAAGTCCTCAATAGTAACGTAAAACAAACGCGTGTGTGTGTGTGTGTGTGTGTGTGTGAGAAGTAGGTTTTCTCTGCGTTTCTGTGTTTATGTGGAAAATCTTCCTGCAGATTCACTCAGATCTGCAAACTTCAGCGTTTTTGTCTTTGTTCTTCACTGCTAGAGAACATTAGCCAACCTGCCAACTGGAAATAAACAGCTTTTTTCAGCTCTCAGTGTAGAAAAGCTTTGTTTTCTGTAAATATAACTGTTAAAATGTTCCTGTATGTTGATCAGATTTCAGCTGTAAGACCTCAGTCTGCTGGTCAGAGTTTGAGTTCGGCTTCAGCTTTAGTGAAATGTTCCTTGTGGAGTTTTGTTTGTTCAGATGATTATCAGGTTGATCAGATCAGCTCTGTGTCGGAGAGGTTTCAGGGCGAACTTTACTAACGCTTATCTCTGGGCAAAGTTCGTTTGAGGTCTCCAGCACAATATGACCCTTTTCCTCCTGAAGAGACACTGAAGTCCTCAGGAGGAGTCTGACCCGTCTGCCTCAGTTAGAACTGAACTGTACAGTGGTGGACACCTAAGGCTGCCACGATACGATACCATGCAATACGATATTTTTGAGTCTACGATACTTTTGGGATATTTCAGATGCAACTCCTGATACACTACTGTACAATCCCTCTTACTAAACACACCGAATATCACTGACACGAAAGCAGTGAGCTGGATGTATTTTAGATTCAGTGCACAGTTAAATCCACCAAAATCAGACTCACTATAAACCTTTATTTACCAGACTCGAGACTGCACTCGGACTCGCGCCCTGCGGACTCGAGATTGCAATCGGACTCGCGCCCCGCAAACTCGAGACTCAGCACTGACTTGGGTGTGACAGACTTGAAACTCACTTTGGGGCTTGCACCCCCAAGACTTGGACTTTTTTCTCATGGACTCTAGACCTGACTCAAGCTTGTGCCTCACAGACTCTAGACTCAACTCTCGCTTGTGCCTCAGAGACTCCGTTTGGACCCGCACCTCCACTCAGAATTGAGACTCTGGGCTCTGCTCGGACTTGCGCCCCGCGGAGACGAGACGCTGCCCGGACTTGCGCCCCGCGGACTCGAGACTCCACTCGGACATGCGCCCTGCAGACTCGAGACTCTGCTCGGACTCTGCTCGGACTCGCGCCCCGCGGACTCGAGACTCCGCTCGGACATGCGCCTTGCAGACTCGAGACTCTGCTCGGACTCTCGCCTCGCAGACTTGAGACTCAGACTCGCGACCCCGTGGACTCGAGACTCACCACAGACTTGGGTGTGACCGACTTGAAACTCAGACTTGTGCCTCAGAGACTCAACTTGGGCTTGCAACTCCAAGACTTAATATTACTGATATATCCAGCTCACTGTTTGTGCATTTTAATTTCAGTGCACAATAAAATCCACCAAATTCAGGCTCACGATCAACTTTTAATTACCAGACTCTAGACTTGACTCAGACTCGGACTCGCACCTCACAGACGCGAGACTGCGCTTGGACCCGCGCCCTGCAGACTTGAGATTCACCACTGACTTGGATGCAACAGATTTGAAACTCAGACTTTTGCTTAGACTTGACTCAAGCTCATGCCTCACACTAGACTCGACTCTGGCTTGTGTCTCAGAGACTTGACTCAGCCTCATGTTGCAGACTTTAGACTAGACACTGGACTTGACTATGGACTCGCACCTCCCAGATACAAGACTCTGCTCGGACGTGTGACACCCAGACTCCAGGCCTGGCTTGGGTCCACGCCTCACAAACTTGAGGCTCAACTCAAACTCGAACAGATTTGTAACTCAGAGACTCAACTTCGCCTCGCACCTCAGAGACTCAAATTTGGCTCACACCTCACAGACTCGGCTCTGGCTAGTGCCTCAGAGACTTGGCTTGGATTCGTGTCTCAGACCCAAGACATAAGTCTAGACTCGTGTCTCAAAGAATCGAGGCTCGGCTCGGACTTCTACCTCAGAGACTCCAGACTTGGCTCACGTAAAATGACTAAAGGTCTGAATTCTGAGATGATTATCTTACTTTGACCACAAAACAGTGAGGAAGGAACAATGCGGATAAATGTCTATACATTAGAATCTGAGCCTTTAGAACCGACGTGTGGTTTAGAACTGATGTTTTTTTACACCACACTAACCGTGTTACCTTAGAGGTAGTGACACTATGACAAGAACTTCAGCCTTAAATGGCTTTTGATGACTGCAGCTGTAATGATGGTGATATAAATGACTCTGTTTAAATTTGCTGGTGTTGCTCGAATCAGCTTGTGTAATTCAGCTCTTCTGGATTCTTTATCCACTCGAGATAGAAGGATGAAGTAATCAGTCGAGTGACCCAACAGCAGAGCAGCTAGCCTTGATTCTGAGGTCAGTGCCGATGCCTGGAAACTGTACAGGATAGTGCTGTTACAGTCAGTGTTTACTAAAACAGTCCGGGATTATGCTCAGTATTATTTATATATATGTGTATATATATATCATCGGTCATTCAGACAGATTGCAGTACATCACAGAAACCGTAGGGGGCGATATGTCTTGTTGTTTAGTCGCACCAAGAAGTAACAATTTGCTTGAACTTTGAATGATGGCGTCAGCAAAGAGAGAGTAACCGAAGAAAGCATAATGAATTAGTTGATAACTTGAATAATAGCTGATCAGTTAATTGATTTAAAGAAGTAATCCTTAGTTGTAGCCTGATTAGGAGTATGTGAGCTTGTTTCTTCTTATTTTAAAGGGCCCATATTGTGAAAAACTGAATTTGACCTGACGCGGTGGTGGTGTGTTAGTGTGTGTTGTGCTGGTCTGAGTGGATCAGACACAGCAGTGCTGCTGGAGTTTTTAAACACCTCAGTGTCACTGCTGGCCTGAGAATAGTCCACCAACAAAAACATCCAGCCAACAGCGTCCTGTGGGCAGCGTCCTGTGACCACTGATGAAGGACTAGAGGATGACCAACACAAACTGTGCAGCAGCAGATGAGCTATCGTCTCTGACTTTACATCTACAAGGTGGACTGACAAGGTAGGAGTGTCTAAAAGAGTGGACAGTATGCAGAGAAACAGATGGACTACAGTCTGTAACTGTAGAACTACAAAGTGCATCTATATAGTAAGTGGAGCTGATAAAATGGACAATGAGCGTAGAAACAAGGAGGTGGTCATAATGTTATGCCTGATCAGTGTATAGTCACGTACTACTAACTTGCTGTCATTAAAATACTGTATTATGTCATTAAAACATTAACAATGTTTGGTACTCAGTATTGAAATAGCCTTAAATTAGGTGAAGATTGCATGCTGACTTAGTTAGGACTTGAAGATTAGGACTTGGGACTCGACTTGAGACTGGCATGCACTGACTTGGGAGTCGAATCAAGGCTTGACTGTCTTGACTTGGTACTCGACTCGGGGCTCGAGAGTCAAGACTTGGGACTTACTTGTTACTTGCAACTTAGGCTACGTTTACACAGCAGGTAAAAGTGGCCCAAATCTGATTTTCTCACCAAATCCGTTTTTTTTAGCTGTTCACATTATCTTTTAAATGTGACCTGTATGCGACATCAGTCTGAACAGATCAGCTGTTCTCTGACGCTGCAGCCTCGGGCTCCTCCGGCCGCGTTTGGCCGGTTCGTTCGAAACCTCTTCGAACACGGAGAGGTTTGAGTCTCTTCTAATGTTTTAGTACAGAAACATCAGACTAAATGTTTTTGAGTCTCAGCAGCGCGAAATTATGACGAATGTCGAGTTGGACTGACGTAAAAGTCGCATGAATTCCGATCTGGCCGTTCAGACTGAGTCGCATTGCTGCAGATCGGATACGTATCGGATTTCAGTACCACATATGAAAGCATCTCAAATCGGAATTGAAAATGTCAGATTCAGTGCGTTTTTTGCTGTTGACACTGCCACACAGACACACATCTGTGTCACATTTGAAGAAAAAGATCAGATTTGGGCCACTTTTACCTGCTGTGTAAACGTAGCCTTAGTGACTTATTCCCACCTCTGCAATCCGTTTACGGAAACTAAGCTTCAAAAACAGCCTGTTTTGAATTGATTGTTTCTGTGATGTCACAAAAACCAACATATTTACATAAATCCACCTTTAGCCTCATTAATTATCATTAAAGTTATCCGGAGTGTTTCTGAGTTCTTTTTGAAAGAGGCATGACCCAAGTCAGCCAGTCAGAACACAGCTCATTTACATGTATCAGTCTTAAAGAGGGATAAGGGATAGAGGGGGGGCAAAAATGGTCATGTAGCAATGAATTATGACTGTTTTTGGTCAGGGGAGACTATAAAATGCAAGAAAATGGTAAGATATGAGGTCTTTAAGGCAGCTGGTGTATTGAATTAACAATGGCTTAAAGTGGAGAATCATTTGTAGCACAGGTGGGACTTTGGGAATGACTGCAGCAAAGGGAGGGAAGCAGAAGAAAGGTGAATAGTCAATTAGTCAAATAATCAAATAATGACGGGCTGGAAGTGACTCAATAAGGTCCTGGTAGGTTGTCCCGGGTATCTGGAGCCATGCTGACTACAGTGCATCCCACAGCTGCTGGAGGGGGCGTGGGGGAGGATCCATAGAGCGAACACGACGATCGAGGTGGTCCCACAGATGCTCAGTTGGGTTC